GCCGCCGCCGCCGCCGCCGCCGCCGCCGAAGTGGTAGTAGAGCTCCACGGCGGATCTCGGGGCTCTTCTGCTCGCTTTTTTTCTCTTCAGAAATTAAAGCAGAGGAGCATCTGAAAGTGGAAAGGTCCCCCTTCTGGTAGGATGGATGTAAAAGGAGGCAACAATTTATTCTTGAGGGGGCAAAAAGGGGAATGCATTGCTGCTTGGCTTTGCATTGTCGGACTTTAAAATAAAGTGTGGCTGTTCTTGTGGTCCACACTCGGGAAATCTTTACAGACCTGCCAAGTCTCTCTTATTTGGAATCTTTTTAAAGGCAAGTTGTTTGGACTTCTTTTTCTTTTTCTTTTCGTTTAGAGAAAGTCAGGGACGCTGAAGAATGTCATAATGTGATTCAAACGAGACAGCTTTCATTTCACTCCTTTAAATAACATTCTTAAATTGACATAGATCTCTGGCTGGAAAATAAAGCTTTCTCTTGGTTAAAAAAAAAAAAAAACCAGCAAGAGGTAAGAAAATACGCACTTAAGAATATGTGAACAAGATAATAGTTTCTAAAGCATATTGGAATGTTTGCAGATTGGTGAGATTCGTGTTTGTTTTCAGATAGTTTTGCTTTCTAACATTTCACCTGCTCCCATCCCAAAACAAGAAACCACCACGTGTTTCCTTCTTCTACCTTCTATCCTAGGAAGAAGGATATTTTATTTTTTTTATTTTTTTATTTTTTTGCTGTTTATTGATTGGACACGCTTGTCAAGTCAATAAATGCCAGACAGGACAACCAAAATAGAGCTGAGTTTTACAAGTCTTTGTGGAAATCAAGAGATACAGAATAGAGTTCATTAATTACACAAATGGGCAGAATTTAGTACAAGTGGTATTGTTCTTAACCAGATTAAAGAAGAAATTCTCCATTCTGTAAAATTAAGATATAAAGACCACTCAGAGTCATCAAAGCTTTGAGGAAGTTGTATTTTTATTTCCAATCTAACCTTTAAACTGCTTTGACCCTAAAGTAGATACAGTATATGTTTTTTCCCATCACCTTCATTATAATGAAATGAGTTTTCAGTCCATCTACAGGAAATTTCTAAAATGAAATCGTAGTTGCATTCAAATAAATATAATTTTGCATGGCTGTGAAATAATAAAGCACACAACTTTAGTTGAAGAATCTACATTCCAACATTCAGGATTCTAGATTTTACACATAACTTTATAACGATTCCATTTCACAGAACTCCTTCAGAAAAGAAAAATGTTTAAGACTCCCAAGTTTTTACAATGCTTTCCTTTCATGTGGTAGCCATATGTGTGCAGGATGCTATGATGATACCAGGTATGTGTGGTCCCAAGTTATGTGTGATACTATCCAAAATATTAATAGCATCTAAATCTGTTTTTACTGAAATGTGAAAAACTGTTAACATGATACTAAAGCACAGCTAAATTAATTTGTTAAAGTTGTCTTCTATGTAGGTTGATATTCTTTGTTCTTCCTCAATATACTACTTTGTCTATTTTAGTCTGTGATTGTTCTTTCTCTTCCCAGTGTTAATATTTCTCTTGCCTTCCTCTGTAAGAGATGAATAAAACCCTTAGATCAGAGAATGTAGATCTGTTTCAAGAGTCTCAGATGCCAGTTTGGGATAGTACTACATAGTATTTCTAGGGGGAGTTAAAGTGCCAACCCTCCAAAAGACAAAAATAACTTTTTACCTAATCTCACAAATTAATCTACACAGAGAAAATGTTTTTGCAAGATTTCTTTAAATATTTTAAGTTCAATATAAATGTCTGGGGGTGGGGGGGGAAGAAAACCACTAATTATTTCTCTAAACATAAACTCCAAAATCTATTCATGAGCCCAAGCCACCATCAAGACTCTGAGTAAAAAACATCAACTTTGCAAATACTTGAGTGCCATTGTTCATGGATGGAGTAATAACACATAACATGTAAAAAGAATTTTTTTTAAGACAGGACAAGTATTTTCTTATGACTCATTAAGGTGTCTGGAAGCCCAAGACAAACATGACCATCCCACCTTTTGAAGGGCCAAGTATTACCCTGGTAGACAAAACCTACTGATTCAGCATTCCTTACCATTATATGCCATGTGAATTAATCAATTACATGGAATTGGTGAGTGCTCGCTTTCATTAAGCAGTGCTGAGTAGACTCAAAATTACTTTCCATGCTTTATAAATAAATAGACATCAAGAATATACAAACTATCCAATGTATATGATAAAGGCAACAGATGCTAAAGAAGGAAAATTGTGTTTCCGTCTTTCATTTGCCAACACAAGAGAACATAATTAACAACTGGGAATATGTAAGCATGCCTAATTAGAAAACATTTTCTTGCTTAATAAAATTTATTTGGGGGATAGCAAACCACTATCTGCTCAGTTACTTATGTCCCAACTTTTAGCTATATTTTTCCCATTCTTAAATCAAAACTGGAAATTAAGCTACAATCAAAATGTCATTCATGCAACAACAGTTTATTGAACACCATCATCCATCAAATTATGTTATCCACCAAGTAATTTATGCAAAATTCCATAAATAAATAGAAAAGATAAATATATAAGGCTTATGAGTTTTAAGTGTTGTGTACAGATAACTTGAATAATAGTCTAAAGTTTAAAATGAGACAGACCCGGGGCGCCTGGGTGGCTCAGTTGGTTGAGCGACTGCCTTCGGCTCAGGTCATGATCCTGGAGTCCCTGGATAGAGTCCCGCATTGGGCTCCCTGCTCGGCGAGGAGCCTGCTTCTCCCTCTAACCCTCCCCCATCTCATGTACTCTCTCTCTCTCTCATTCTCGCTCTCTCAAATAAATAAATCTTTAAAAAAAAAAAAAAAATGAGACAGACCCTCCATTATTCAGTCCCTTCATTAAGAACTTAAGCATATAATTAAACTTTCCATGTCTTATTAATGCCTGATTTATTTAATTTCCACCTTTTTTCTTACACTGACTCCATAGCATCCACTTTTAAGATATTTTGCATTTTTAAGAAAATCTTCTGTCAGTGAAACAAATAACATACCTGGGACTGAAAACCTCCTTTGAAAAAGATTAACTTTTTTTTTTCAATTGCAAATTCCAACAATAAAGATATTGCTAAAGGAGGGATTAATGTTAAAGGAGTTCTGTGTCTATGAAAACTGACCTCAAAGGAATTAATTACACAAAACATATTAGGTACCAGTTCAAGTAAATCTTCAATTTAAAATGTCAATTGCAAAACATAAATCTCTTTGGTATGTTTTAAGTCATAGTGTCAAAGTTGCAATCTGGAGTCTAAACCAATTTCAAAGAAAACAGTCTTCATGATTTAAAAAAATATATCTTTAACATATGTTTTACTTTCTTTTACTTATCTATACTATGTTACAATTTTATGTAACATTTTCAGATTGTTCTAAAGATTGGTTCCAGGTTTTTTAAAAGGTATTACAAGTTTACTTCAAATCTAAGTGTACTATCTGTCTGAGTAATATGCCCTATTACTTCCCAGAAGCTTTCTAAGGAGGATCATTTATAAAGACCTTTAAAATCATATGAAGGGGCAAAGTTGCATCAAAACCCATCTGAGTCTTGTGTGTGTGTGTAAACTATA